AGATGCTATTTATTTTTAAAAGTCTGGACATGGGAAGAAATGCCAGATATAGGTGACAGGGGGATGGAGGCAGCAAACCACATTGCCATGTAGGTACCTATGCCACAATCCTGCATGTTCTGCACATGTACCCCAGAACTTAAAGTGCAATAAAATATATACATATATAAAGATACAAATATTTTTTTAAAGTTTGAGGTGATGAATATCCTAATTACCCTGAATTGATCATTACACATTGTATGCATGTATCAAAATATCACAGGAACCCTTTAATATGTATAAGTATCATGTATCAATAAAAATAATTTTTTTAAAAAAAGAGTCTGGACCCTACCTTCACCTTCAAACCAATTAAACCAGGTAATAGATCTCACGAGCTGTCTCTGGACCAGCTGCAAATCCTTGGGTCTCATCCCCAATCTACTGAACAAGAAATTCTGGAGATGTGGCCAACAATCTCTATTTAACAAGCTCTGCAGGTGGCTCTGATGTTTGATAAATATGAGAATCTCTGATCTAAGGTAAGGCCAGAGCATCACAGGTATGTCCAACTTCCCAGCTAATTCAAATGTGCAGCCAGTTTCAGACTCATTGACAGAAATGGAAGATCACAAGCGTAGAAATATGATCAACTTTCAGAAAGATGCAGGGAAGAATAAAAACAGACATATATATGAGTAATAACAAGAGTGAATGAAGGCATGATCAGAAAGCCAACACAAATAAAGGATGATAGACTTTTTAGATTAGTCGTTCTCTAATGATTTCTCAACAAACGATTACACAGACATCCCAAGGCCATTGGAAGGAAGAATCGCCTGGCTCAGCATGAGAGGAGGGGCTAGGAGCATGCTTCTGCCACCAGCTTCATTTCTCCACCCTCCCGGCACAGTCAATGGTCCCCAGAGGCCTCCTGAAGTCCCAGTGCTACAAGATGCAGGCTCTAAGAACCAATCAGAAATGATGCTCTGTGACTCCTTGAACAATGCAACGAACCTTTAGATACCTGACATAAGCCCATTATAGACTGCGGGCCTTACACATCATCTTTGGTGTCCCACTGCAGGAGTCCTAGGGGAACCACAGTGCAGCCCACACAGATGCAAATGGGACCCTGAGAGCTTTGCCTGCAGGGCCTGGGTGGTGACTGGGGATCTGCCCTTCACTTGGCCTTTGAATGTCTGTCTACTCTGATGCTCACCATACTGGGAAAGTTCTATGTCGGGCCCGGGTCATTCTTCATTAGAACCAGACAAAGGACCATCCGTGTTTTTACCCATATGAGACATGTTAGCTAGATTGCCTCAAAACAAGAGCACTTGTTTTGGCCAATCTAGCAAAAAAAAAGAAAAAAAGAAAAAAAAAGACCTTCATAGATCACAATGTCTTTAGAATAATGACACATAAATAGGTCCAGTTTTCATAATCAATATCCAATATTTTGCAATACAGTACTGTGGTATATGGTGTCCCATAGAAAACCTACAGCAGGCCCCAACATCATCCTAGTTCATGGGTTACCACATATCACTACTTCCTAAGAGTCAAGAATTTAAACAGTGGAGCTCAGTTCCAGTCTATTCCATCAGCAAGGGTTCTTTTCTTTACTATGCCTTTTCTAATTGCTGAGAGTCTGGAGCTACACAATGTGGCCTGGGAAATCGGTTCATCAGCAGAAAGGGAGAGGCTTTCTACCCAACAGTGCCAACCAAATCTCGAGCTCTCAGTTCAGCTCTTCAGACGATTGTCTGAAAATGGCAAATGGAGCCAACATTGAAAAGATGCAGAGAGAAAATTCAGCTGAGGTTATTACCAATGAATACAAAGGTAAAAACCCTCACCGGCCACCTTCCCTTCTTATTCACCACTCAGGATTATGGCTTCTCCCACTATTTCTGCACCTAGAACAAAACCCAAGAATCATCTGACGCAGGAACAGGGGCTGGTGGGGAGGGATGGGGGCATCTGCTCAAGAGTCAGCACTGTGAGGGGCACCAGCACCAGGCCCCACAGAGAAGCGACAGCCAGGGCCCGCCTGGGTGTATGAGGGTCTTGCCCAGTCAAATAGACATGCTGTCCTCAGAACACCAGGATGGCAGCTAAAGTCAAAAACGTGAATGGGAGTGAACCTGCCATGCAAGAAAAGAAACCACTATCTATTATCCGCAGCACTTTCACGAGTCAATGAACAAAACATCCGACTCATGCATTAGAATACACGACACGCTCTCCTTAGACACCTTTGCCTGATGCAGATACAGCCCCATCGAAGATGTCTTAAGCATTTTAAATTGTTCCACAGCCTCAATTTTTCCACTTCTAAAAGAGAAAATATCAAAATATGGTTAAATAAAATCAAATATAATTACCATTTCATGATTTTTTTTGTTTCCAGGACAACAAGTAACTGAATTTTAAGCCACCTACTCTTTCTTCTACATACAGCTTTTAAAATAAGTAAGTCAATAAACAAATCATTAACATCTACTTGAGAAATACCCTTCCAGGCAACATTTTTAATGGCCGAGAAGAATATGATTACCTTTAATAGAAACCCACTTACAAATTTAAGACATGGAAACTGTGTGCAACAGTATAGATTAAAATTTACAAATTTTAGACAGTAATTGTCCAGAGGAAGTAGCCACATTGATGTATTTTCCCAGTTGGTGACTATGTGGTTTACGTAAATGAATTTAATAAATCCTTTAAAGCGAGAACACGATGAAGCTGCACAATAGGTTGTTTTCCTCAGTGTGATGCTGCTTCAGCATGAGCACTTCGGTATTTACAGGTATTCATGACTATGAAAGGGAAAGGGTTATGGGGACAAGCTGTCCTCTCCTGCTTAGACCTTGGGTCTTAGTGAACAGATCAGCATGAGCACTGCACTGCCTCATAGCATCTGGGAGAATGCGGAAATGCAATATGATTTTGAGCTGAGCCTCAAGAAGTTCTGAGCCTTGCATGACTCATGCAGATCCGCAATCATCTCTCCTCCCGACTCTGACTTGTTATATCCGGGCCAAAGGAGGAATTTATCTGTGGTAAATATTATCCAGAGGAAATCTGGATAGAAGTGAGTTAGGATAAAAAAGATAGAAGCACAAGAGATCGGGCTGGGGGAGGAAAGGGTTTTACTCCCAATGTGTAAACCCATACAATTTAGTTAAAAGCAAAAGTAATTTACCTCAAGTATTGAGAAAATGGTCTCAGTCTCCCATATTGCAGAGGACATCCCTGCTCAGAAGAGCACAGAGAGAATCTGTTTCCTATCTCCAGGATACAGGACAAGAAAATGTTTCCAACCACATCACTATATTCATCAGCAGGAAACCAAAACTGTTGCTTATGCATGTGAAACAGCAGGCATTTCAGCCACTAAATACCCAGAGCCTGTCACCTTATGTGAAAGCAAAAAGCCTAGGAAAACAGCAGCTGCCTTAGGGCACTGAGACACCCAGATCTATATAGGAAGCATCAGTTTTCTTTGAAGTAAACTGAAAATGTGGGTCTCAGGCAGCCTGACTTCAAAGGCGCACTCAGTATTTCTCCCTCAATCTGATGCTGGGAGAAAAAGTGTGTCCTTGGGAGGCTGTCTTTATTTAGTGATGGAAAAGAAGGTGCTTCAGAATTGGTCATGATATATTAGGGGAAAGTCTAGCTAGGAACAGATGCTTGGCATAATGCAACACACTCCCATACTTCTCTGGGTAATTTAATTCTGTTTACAAGTTCTTCTGGAACTCTTGATTCAGAAAAGTTTGCACAGGTTTAGATCTTTGCAGAGCATGTTATTATCCCTATCGAAATTTGTTTTAGAAGTAGACTCAGCTGAAACTCTGAGTAAGAGGAACTGATTAGAATGACAATATGCAGGAAGTATAGTCTATCTAACTATAAAATGCAACAGTTAGCATTTACATTTAGCAAAGTGAGTTATGTCTTTCGTGCCATGCCTCAAGCTTTCTACACACCAGTAGCATCTGGGAAGGACAAAAGGAACAGCACATCTTCAGCATGCCTCTAGAAAATAGCAACATTAGTTACAGTACTTTTCTTGATACTTCCATTTATGTGCTTACAGATCACAAGGAGAAAACAAAAAAATAGCCATTCATGCAAGTTCAAATGCAAGCAGAAGGCACTTCTTTGCACAGTTTTGTGAATTCACACCCCAAGAAGTTGTTCTAGAGGTTACAACAGCAACACAAGTTCCACAAATCACATGAGGTATTATTGTCAGGATAAAATTTTTCTGCTCCTATATTTGAATAAAGTGCAAAAAACATTCAATTCAAAGGGCTTATTCTTTAAGACCCTCACTTATGCATATGTACAACTTCTTTGTCTGGTCAACAAACATGAAAATATATCACTTCCCAACCTGTCTAACATTTTTCTTTCCTTTTATCCAAAGAGTTATTAATAACATTGCAAATGTAAACACTGGTCGCTGAAATACGATTAATGAAAGTAAGTGAATGAGCTAAAAAAGTTAGCATGCCAAAGGCTTATGTCTAGTTTGTATTTTTATCTAAAATTTGATGTTCCATGTGGAGTCCTGATTTGGCACAGATGTACATTACACATCATCGGGTTGTTTTTTTTTTGTTTGTTTTTTGTTTTTT